GAGCTTATGTGGGCCGTGGCTCCGCGGCGACTTCCTACGAGGAGCACAATGACCCATGTGGCCTGTCGCTGCAGCTGTCGCGCGCCTACAGCTCCATGGCCTCTTCATCCTACATGGCCATGAGAGGCGCAGTCGCCGGTGATGGCGTACCTCGGCCAGCGTCAGCTGGTCAAGCGCGGGGCCCACGACTTCCTCCATCCTTCTCGGATCGCATATATATATATATATTGTACGGCACGCGATAGGCTCGTGTTAGGGTTCTGACCTGCTGGCTAGTGTCCGGCGACGGTGGTGCATAGCCATATCGACGACGCGCACATGCTGTACCCGGCGCCACCCAGTGTCCGCATCGGCCAAGCCATGGCCACGTGGCTCGTCTTTCCGACGCAGAATGCGCTGTACTGTGCGCCCGAGATGGCAGCCGCCTACCTCCGGGGCGAGACGCCCATGCCGTTGCGAATCCGTACGATGTACTAGGTAGCGCGAGGATAGGATTGAACGGTGCTGTAGGCTCGACGTCGTCAAGGTCATGCTACAGGTACGTTGTGCGTACGTGTCTCGTCTGAAGAACCGACGACGCAGGCCGACCGCACGTCCCATGGCACCGCGCAGTACACGGGCGATATATATGTGTGGCGTTTCCATTATCCGGACGGTACGGTTAACCACCTCGCACAAGAAGATCGGCCACAATGCGACGATGGCCAGCGACGATCCTCGCCCTGCTTCTCAGCATGCTGGCGATGGCCTCCTCTCTGGCGGCCGACTACGACGACACCAGCTTCATCTTTGACGACGCTGACGGCGAGGAGAGCCATGCCGATCATCCAGTGGTGCGAGGCGGCTCGAACCACAGCAGTGATGACGAGGTCGAGTAGGTGGCATGCGCTGTCGACGAGGCTGCCGGTGTCTGCTTGATACCGTCCGTGCACGCGCGCGGCCTCGTCACGACAGCTCCAAGCGTCGCCTCGATTCTGACGGTGCGCAGGCGTCGATGCACCCGAGATGCAATGTTGCACATGTAGCATGCCCACGCCTACGCGGGCGACGTGGACACCAAGCGCTTTGCTGGCGAAACCCTTGGCTACGTCACGCCGTGGAACAGCCATGGCTACGACACGGCCAAGACCTTTCGCCGCAAGTTTACCTACATTGCGCCCGTGTGGTACCAGGTACTCTTCATCGATCGATCGACGCCTGCCGTATTGACGCGGGCGACGGCAGATCCGCCACGACGCCTCGCGAGCGCCCGTGCTCACCGGTGGCCACGATGTCGATGCAGACTGGATCGCCGCTGTCCGTGGTCGCGACGGTCTCGGCCCCAGCATTGTGCCGCGCTTCATGTTTGAGATGCCGTCGCTCAGCGCAGCCGAGGCGTCGCAGGTCCTCTCGCTGTTATTGCACGAGGTGCAGACACAAGGCTTTGACGGCCTCACGCTCGAGGTATCGCCGTCGACAAAAAGGACGGTATTGACCACCAACAGATCCCCATCGTCGACGTCACGGTGCCCTTCATCAAGGCGCTCGGCAAAGCGCTTGCAAAGGCCAAGCGCCTGCTATTGCTGGTCTTGCCTACAAGCCAGCGCAACGTAGGCGACGACGCTTACGTTTGTGCTGCTCACGCGCGGTGGTGTAGGGCCAGCTCTCGGTGGACACGCACCTCTTGCAAGCGTAGGTCGTTCAGGATCGGAGCGGATTTGAAGCCGCTTCTCTAGCATCCTTCCGCACGTGCATCGCTTCTCAGTCAACGCGTACGACTACTCGTCCATGGGTCCGAACGCGCCGCTGCCATGGCTGCAAGCGACGCTGCAGCAGCTCGAAACGTCGCCTAAATTTCTCATGGGCCTAGCGTTTTACGGCTACGACACCAACGGTACCGGCCATCGCCCTTCTATGGTGGTGACGCGTCAGCTGCGCTAGAGGCCGTGATTGGGTCGACGTTCTTGACGCTGTTGAAAGCCCATACCCCCGATGTACAGTGGGATGCCGTTGCGCATGTAATACGTCGACAACGAATCGCCACAATGGTACTCATGTGTGTGGCTAGGAATGCAAGTTTATCTACGCCGACGGCCGACGCCACGTGTATTACCCGTGTTTGCAGTCCATCCAAGACCGGCTCGCGCTCTACGCAGAGACACAGGTTGGCGCCGCGATCTGGGAGATTGGCCAAGGGCTCGACTATTTTTTTGATCTGCTTTGAGACGCAACGGTCGGCGACCGAGAATAGCAACCGATGCCTTTCTTCTCAAGATAGCTCGATGTCCTTTCTATTTCTTGTTTTAGTCGCCAAGTTGCAAAGCAGAATGACCCAAGAAGAGCGAGCGGCGCCGGCGTACCGATCCCGGCGCGTGCTTCTACCAGCGATCGCATTTGTCGTCGGCGCCATCGCGACGATTGTCGTCGTTGCGACAACCACCGGCGTCTTTGACTCGCACGCGCCGTCGTCTACGCAGGATACGTCGAGTGGGACAGAAGCCCCGTCGTCGTTCACGGCCGTCGGGGACAACACGACCGCGCTTGACGTAACGACGACGGCGCCCAAGGCGACACCAAGTGGCACTGGGGGCGCATCCCACCTCGGTGCAACGTCGACGTCGGTCGATCCGACGGCACCGGGCGAAACCATGAGCCACAACACGGAATCCAGCACACCGACGAGCGAGCTTGCAAGTGGCAGTGACTCGATGTGGGCGAGTGCTTCGTCGTCGGCGGCAGGCAGCGAACACTGGGACAGCAGCACGTCGGCGGCAGGTAACGAAAGCTGGGACAACAGCGCGTCGTCGTCCTCGGCACCGTTTGACTGGGACGAAATTGAGCCACCGGCAAGCGCAGAGTCCGGTAGCAACTCGACGATGCCCGCGTCGGCTCACACGAACGACGGCAACGCTGCTGCGGTCCAGGAGAGAGCCATCCAAGCCAAGCTATCCCAGCACTTGAACCGACTTCGCGCCGAGCAAAAGCAGCTGCAGCGCCAGATCCAGCTTGCCCAGAGGCGTGGGCAGGGATCGGTCAAGCCAACTCGATTTCGGAGCACGATGTCGGGCGGCGTCTCGGTCGGCCCCACGAAAAAGAAACTCCGACGTCGGTCTCGGGTCTCCACACAAGCATTGCGAGCACGACCGTGTACAACCAGCAGCTCCAGGCGCAGTTGGCGGCACTCGCCGCCAGCCGTCAACACCCCAAGTGACGTGTGCAACTGTTGTTGACATATTTCTCTACCGGATACATGTTTTGCTTATAATAAACGTTCAAATGACACTTCGCGAATGTGGAATGGCGTCGTTGGCTCCTTGACGTCGGTAAAACCGAATTTCCTATCACAAGTAGTGAAAAGCGTCGCGCTGGAGTTGGTTCTACCCTCTGGCCATATCCTCGAGGTGCGCTTGCAGCAAACTGCTGGTCTTGTCACTTGCGTCAGCATCAATGTCGATACGGGCGCGGGGGGCTGTAAAGGCCGGCCACATGCGCAAAACGACACTTTTGAAGCGGTCGTGGCGCTCGGCGAGCGTCTAGACACCACGCAATTCATCCATTTTCCGTAGCAAACTCAGACAACCTTGAACATGCCGGGGCGCAATTGGTCGGCCACAACGGCCCGAAAGGCCTCGTAGACGTCGGCATCGTCCAAGATGCGGGGAAAGAGCTTAAGGGCGGGCTCACACGTGTAGACGTGCGACGGCGATTCGAGCGTCGAGAGCACCGTCTTCATGAGGCTCATGTAATCCTGGATGATGGACACGGCCGAGTACGGAGCAATGATGGTCGACGGCAGCTGCGCAATCTGCAGTTTTTCCTACCATATCCCTTTGTGAGGACATATTTTTTTAGGGTTTCTTACGGGATAGGGTAATTTGGGAATTTGGAGGCTCTTGATATGGAGCTGGGGTGGACAGTACGCCGTGAGCGCCTTCTTGAGGGCCCGCCACCCGCTGCGCCGCCGCGAAATCTCATCCTATATTCCAAATGCGTAAATGCACGAAAAAATGAAAATGATTCGAGTGCGGTACCTCGTCGAGCTCGACCGGGTTGAGGATCGAACCGCCGTACAGTGGCACGTCAAAGCGAACAACGTCTTGGTTGGACGGTGCGAGCAGTTGATTCACGGGAATTTTGGTCCAACAACACACCATTTCGATCGGAACCAACGCATGGGCAGGGGCGGTGCCTACAAGACCGAGTGAGATCGGTTGCAGTCGTATCTCTCCGCACCTTGTATTTGGCTTTGGTCGCGGCTTGGTGCATTTCATGGGCGGTCTCGCTCTTGAGCTCGAGGACAAACTCAATAAAGAGGTAGAGGTCGTCGGCTGGTGTGTTTGTGCGCACCTGTGTGCAGCTCTGCGTCACCAATGTACGAATCACTACGGTGACGTACAATAAACTTGTAGTCGTCGGCTTTGGTCGCGGCGCGGGAAAAGTACCACACATCCTCCTCCTTTTTCGACCAGGCGACGGGAATTTCGTGGATGTTGCCGACGATTTGGCCTTCAAGGCGCCGGACGCCGTGGGCCGTCGTCGCACTCGTAGCGTCGGCCATGTCGAAGAAGCACACGCGCACCTTACGTCCAATGACGTCGTGCTCACGCTTGTCGTATGGCGCCGGCACGCCTTTTGCGAGCTTGAGCGACACAATCGCTTGCTTTTGCAGCGCCTCGGACGCTTCGACGCCCGCCCACGCCTCCTAAACCGCCATTGGGCAGTGGTTCGTGACGCTAATCAACCTGTAGCGTTTGCGTTGGCACGAGCGCCAGGTTGCCGTGCTGAGCCATATTGTACACCGTCTATCGAGATATCAACTGGATAGAGTGCCGGTGTGAGGTACGGACCTCGGGGGGCGGGAACGATAGCACGTACTCCATCGAGTGCTTTTGAACGCGGCGCGCGGTGCTCGTCACGGCGTGTCGAAAGTTGGTCGGGACGCCGAGCAGCGCCAGCAAGTGCGCTTCCGGGTCGCGCGGTGCGCCGCGCGCAATCTTCTTCATGCCCGAAATGGCGTCGCTACTGAGGTGCGCCAAGTGCTGCGTCGACCCGGAAGCGCCCGAGAGCTGCTCCACGAGCAGCATAAACGCGCTAAACTCCTCAATGTCGATGCGGCCGTCGTTGGAGGTGTCGATCTCGTCGACGACCGCGTCAAACTCATCGGGCGTCAATGGAATCTGAAGTTCGTGCACAAGCGCGTGGTAAAAACTCGGCCGTAT